GTGTTAAAGGCTGTGATTTAAACTTCCTGGAGAGATTTTAACGTGCTGTTTTTGACGTGCATCTTCTTTATACTGATGTAAATGTGTAAGTTTAGTCTAATGTTAACGTAGACCGTAGGAACAAAGTGAAAGACGGTATAGTTCGCACACTGGTGGCGACGTATACGCATTGTTCTGGTCAGTAAAATATCTAAAAGCATCTGAAAGAGTATTTCACTCTAACAACATTAAGCTGGTAAATAAACGAAGCAGGGAACTGTACAGTATTTAAAGATCTGTAACAATGCTACAGAGGAATCTTTCAGGTATTTCCTTTTGGAAAATTAAGAGCCAGACTGAAAGGAAACGAGAGCAGCTTCGTAAATGTGCGACGGTGACTCATTTGATTTTGGAGACTTGATTTCGAAGAGGAGGTGGTTCCACTCCACGAATGAGTCCTCTGTAAAAGCAGTGTCCTTATTAATACGTATCTGTTTCTTTTCTCAAGCTCAGGCCAACAAAAACGTAGTGTTGTTATTAATGTGCACTTTTATACAGTAAATTAAACCAACAGTTGGATAAATGGGTGAAAGCAGCCGCACAGAAGCCTGTTTTTATTACATTTTATACTTTAATGCATCAGTAATCATTCCTTAGCTGATCGGTATTGGCTGTATTGATCGCGAAGCTGAGTCGGATCCTTTTGTTTCAGGTAGCCTACAGTAAGTTTAAGAGTTGGTTGAGTAGATCCTGTTAAAGTCTGTCCACTAACAGTTGATTTCTGACCTGAGCTGATAATATGTAACATCAAATTACACTGTAAAGGCATATAATCTGTATTGTGACATTAACAGTGCCTGGAGAAGTGAGTATACTCTTAATATGAACAGCTGTGAGCGACGTGCATCAGAAGGGATTTATAGGAGAGTTGTCGACTGAAATAAGTGGGTGTATACCTGCGTTATACCCGCCAATACACCGCTGGATATTGCCTGAAAAAGCCTCTAGTGAATCTGGTCTGAGACAAGTTTTGTCGACTGTCAAACGTGTGGCGATAATCCGATATGAACTTTGACTGGATTTGCACCGAGACACGTCCTAACTCTACGAATGCCTCGCTCTTCCTGTGCAGGCCGACGTGGTTGGAGCATCTTGTGCAGCGCGTACGCAGACCGGAGAGAGAGAGAGAGAGAGAGAGAGAGATCGTCGCCGTTAATGACACTGTAATGACACGTGACGATTGAAGTTTAACAGAATGGGTGTCGGACGGACTTTGTTACGTTACAGATTGTTTTAAACTTTCTACCTTTGCCCCGTCAGTCATGTGTGAACGGCAGCAGCGTGCCAGAGGCCAGGTGTGGCGTTCTGCATTACGTCAGATGGTATTTGTAGTGTGTGTGTGTGTGTGTGTGTGTGTGTGTTTTGTGTAGGTGTGCTCCCAGTTTTGGTCCTGTCGCTCATCGTCGAGGTTTCTGACTGTCGCACCACGGCGAGGCGAGGTCCGGTCCGGAGCGGAGATATCTTAACATCCAAAGTCTCCTGTGTTTATGACTCTTGTGCCGTAACTGCCTCCTCCTTATCAGCTCTCTTCTGTGTGTGTGTGTGTGCTGTGGTGTGTGTTGTGTGTGGTGGTGTGGTGTTGTGGTTGTGGGTTGGTAAAGTTGCTTGATCATTCGTCTCACTGTAAAACACTGTAACGTGGGTACCACCCGTGAATGGCCATGCACAGCCAAATTAGACGTGCTGTCAGATCGGGCGCGCCGAGCGGTGTCGAGTCGAGCGGGCTGCAGACAGGAACTGGTCTGAGAGAGGGCGACGTTCCACCACAGATAAAACAGGGGCTACGAAGTAAGTCTTGAAGCATATAGGGACTGCGTGCGACTCACGGATTGATCATAGGCAATTCTATGTGCCATACTTTGAACCATGCCTACATTAGTGCTGGGACCTTCATCACGCTTAATACACAGATGTAATACAGAGTGAAGCACACTTAGGATATAAGGATGGATGCCTAACAATAATGCCGCTCTCAAGTCTTTATGTGAGGTTGTCGAGTAACATAGTAATAAGAACATAAGTATTAAGACCCGTGATTGAGCTACGTTTGAGTGCACGTTGGGGCCTGGGTGTTATTGTGCACGTAAAGATCAAGCGTCCGTTTTTCTTCTGTGACGCACGAGCTAGCGCGCAGGTATTCGCGTCTCGAGGTAATAGATGAGGCCCTATGGGATGGACGTTATCTATCTGTAAAATCAAGAATGTTATTTTCCAAACAGGGGAGCTACAAAGACATCATTAAGAATTGACTGAAGCACATAAAAGGAAACTGAGTGCTTAAAGTTGCCAGCACACTTCGTGGTGTGATGTCTGTAAAATGTCTCAAGGAAACCCAGAGACTTTGCAGTTCTATTTCATGAGTCGATTTTATATCATTAAATAAGACTAAAACAAATCCTTAAATTATTCAGCCTGTGAGCCACTGGCAAACCATCATTTTTGTGCCATTTTTTTACATTGCAAATTAGCTATAAGATCCTTAAGATATTTGGCCCAGTCAATTTGTCGGTTGATTGGATTAATGCAACCCAGTCAGCTCTGGAATCATTATTGATGAACTGTACACACGAGCACACACTTCAAACAGAGTTTGATATTCACACATCTGTTCCCACATCTGCTGACCCGTGTACTCGAGAAGAGTGGAACATGCAAGAGAACTGGAAGAAGATTGTCCTTTAAACGAGAGCTTGCAGATATCTGTCGTTGTATCTGCTGATTTATTATCCCAACAAACTGTCTGCAGAAGCCTGGTGTTGTGTTGTCAGTCTGCTGATACAAGGGACCAGAAATATACAGTGTAAAGACGCTGGCAATCAGAGAGTTTTAAGGCCTTTTTTGCTTGAAAAGAATGAGGATAAAACGACGATTAATTAATTTTGATGTATCAGTAGAAAGATGTTTGTGGGGAAATAACAGGTTCACATTCTCCAGCAAGCCTGCTTCAATAGTAGAATCACTCCTTTGGGTGTCTGAAATCTGTCTACAATTTAACATTTTTTCCAGCATTTTGTCTTTTAGAGTCTTTTTTTAAAAGAAGAAACTGTCCAAATAATTTCTGAAATGTGCAATATTTTCTGCGTCCTTTAGGTCCTTGTGGACACAAAAGACTTCTGAGGAGCGTTAGGTGACGGCTTGGGAAACTGCTGAACCTTAATACAAAAATTAATACAAAATGTAAACTGCTACCAGACAAACGTTGAAAATTATACCAGCCAAACGAATAACGAGAGTAAAGTCAGTGTCTTGTGCGGGCTGAAAGCAGAGGACCGGGCCACCGTCAGTATTCTTAGTGCTAGTTAACTCGATTATAAGATAGTGATTTAATATAAGTAGTGTGGAGAACTCGAATGGTAATCAGCTAATAGTGCAGCCTCTCATCCTTAGTGTTTAATATCAGCGTAAATAAGTTGCGCATAACTTAAAATATATTCTTCCTGGAAAGGTAACAACTCTGTTATTTCAGATTTGCGCGTGAACCAGTGTGTCATTGATTTCTAGAGGTCTCTCCGGTTCTGCTGCGGTTGGGGTGCAGTTAAATGGAGAAAGCCACACATGGGGAAGTATCGCCGCAGGACGAAAGCTGTAAGATTCAGATCTCTGTG